TTAATGAACGCCTTTTTTTCATCCTTTTCCACTCCAATTCCATGTTCGTAACAATAACCAAACCAGAATATTCCATCAGTAGGTTCAAGTAGTTTTGACTCCTTGTTTGATGGATTAGCACTATTAAAAAATTGCCCAATTGTAATTTTTTGTATTGATGTAAGATAAATACACCAATATATTTGATATTCCCCCAATACTATTTTTGCATCATCATCTACATGATCATTTTCGTTATAATAATGGTCGAAGATATTATTGTCATTGGTACCATCTTTTTCAAGATTATCTGAAAAGTTATGCGTGTGACTTGTCACGTTTGCTACTAATGTGCCATTTTCATTATAAGATTTGATAGAAGCAACAAATGATGGTTCATTATTCGATAATGGATACTTGAATATGCAAGTAAATACTGCATTTGACGGAAGATTTGGAAGTGTTTCAATGTAAATTTCCCAATTTGGGTCAATACTAGGCTCAATCGCTTTCTTTCCGGTTTCTACAACAATTAAATTTCGAGAATATGAATACTCGTAAAAAATTTCATGTAAATTCTCAAATTCTTGTAAATCTTCAACAATCTCTGGATTTGCAACTAACATCCAGTTTATATTCATTTTTCCGGAATTATTTATCCTACAATAAGAAATTATTAAAAAACTCAAAGTAATTTAAAAGTAAGTTATAAATGCAATAAAAGATATTCTTACTTGATATCGAGAATATTTTCGACGTTTACAGAAAATCCAAAAATATTTATTGCCTTAAATTTAATAATTTTTTCACTAAGTTGTTGCCCAGAAGTTGTTGTTACATTTCCATAAAGCTGATAGTTGTCGCTCTTTAATTTATTCTTGAATTTAACACGATAATATATCACTGATGCATCAACTTGCACGCTATCAATCATAAGTATCTCTTGCTTAAAATCTGGTTTTTTTATCTTTTTAACCTCTTCAGGTAATTGCAAAATTTTTAATAAAGAATTGTTATGATCATGAATTTCAAGAATCATTTTTATCTGACTACGAGTTGGTTCTTCAAAAATTTCATAAATTGATATTAAATCGTCATATTCGATAACATTTAATTTAGTATCATTTTGATAACAAGATTCGACCCAACTATTATCTAAAAGATTTTCATTATTAATGTATGACAGCATATTTTCTAATTTTTTCGAAATTTTTTTGAAATCGTCGATAGTTGACCATTCTATTTCGTCTTCGATGCAACCTATATCCATTTCGACATATTTAAAAAATTTTTTACCTATTACAATATTTTGGGCAAAGAAGTTTCCAAAAGCTGCAAAGACATCCAACAACTTTAAATAACTTATATACGAATCTATTCCTTCAATGGCCTTATTTATTGCACACTTAAATTTTTCCGACGGTTTAATCGAATCTTTGTTTAGATGTAATTTAATCCTTTGATTTACAATTGTGAAATAAGCACACCTTCCATTGTTAAGAAATAGGTTATCATGATTAAGTAGGGCTTGCAATTCTGACGGATAATTAATAGACTTAGGATTGATCATATTTTTTTCAAAGAAAAGTTGTTTTCTTTCGCATGTTG